TTAATCCTGATGATCCTCGCAATTTGTAATCAATTTATGATAGTATTTTTCTACGGTCCATTATGGCCCAACTCTTTTCAATTTTTGATATTTGGTATCGATTAACCGTTGATGAAGTAGCTCGTGATAACTATCTATTGTGATTACAGTTAACTTGACCCTCGCTCCATGATGTTATTCGTTTTTCATGCTTTTAACCACTAGCTCCAAAGGAAGACTCTCCTCCCACTGACCACCATGTCAAATTCTAGATTTCGAATCCTTACCCTTATCCTAACCTTAGGATTGGAGTCACTGTACTCCAGGTAAATTTCTGCCATGGATACTTACTCTTCCTTTTTCCCATCCTTAGTATTGGAGTCGTCGTACTCCACGTAAGTTCTCGCCGTGGATACTTACCCTTCTCTTTCATAACTCTATCTCAACGTAAATTTGGAGTCGCCGCACTCCACGTAAGTATTTCACTATGAATGCTTACTTCCCCCTGGAATCTTGACCACAGTCAAGAGTTCCTCACCCTCTTTGAGGGGAACTATGAATTCTCTGATTCCATTCCCGTCAGGATACGTAGGCACAAGATGTGATTTCTTGGCGAGTATACTTAGGACTAACCCATTAGGTATCCCTTCAACCTTTTAGCAGATAACCAATACTAAATAACACATATAAAACAAGAGGTTCTTGTAGAGTACTACAGATGCATAGGATGCTAACACCTTCCCTAGGTATAACCAACCCCCGAACCCTAGATCTTCCCGCATTGTGTTTACGATGCAAATTAGGTTTTTCTTTCTTTAACCTTTCCTTCGGATAAATCAAAGACCGGTTGTGAATTTAAAGATGTACGATTCAAGTTAATCAATAGATTGTTCCTATTCTCACTGCAACACCTACTTCTTATGTATTACTTTGTAGGCATCACATAACAAAGAATGTGAAAATTAGGGTTTAATTTGTGATAGGGACAAAACAAATAAAGGTCGAAGATGGAAAAATGGTTAATGCACGTGTGGTAGAGGAAAAAATAATGGATGCATGAAATGTTATAGTAAATTCTTCTTCTAAAGAATTATATGTTGATTTTGTTATACATTTCAGGAAGATGTGCAAGAAATATTCATATTTATTGAAATATGTTAAAAGCACAATTCTGGACCAGGTGAAAGAAAAAACTATTTGTGCATGGACCGATCAAGTTAGACACCTTGGAAATACAATAGCAAACTGAGTTGAGTCTGCCCATGCTACATTGAAGAATTGGTTGGGAAATAGTAAGGGAATTTTGTTTAAAGATTAGGACTCTGCGAACCAAATAATATAGAACCAACATAATGAGATACAAACATCATTTGGTCAGAACATCACAGTTTTGAAACACAGATTTAGAGATAACAATCTTTATTCTCAGTTGGTCAACAACGTATATCGAGCAGGTTTGAATTATATTTTTCATGAAGCTAAACGAGCTAATAATGTAGGCTCTGATAATGCAAAGTGTGGTTGCACAATTGTGAAAACTTGGCAGTCCGTTAAGAATAGATGAAGTTTGCAGTCATTGCAAAAGATGATGATGTCATGAAAGACGATAAATCGAATATCTCTATCTTGACCGAATGGGAAGTGATACAAGAAATATTTTTGAAATTCGATGACAATATGAAACTCCACATCAAAGAAAAATTGAGGAAGATTTCTTATTCAGAAACCACTAACTTGAAACTACCCTCTCAACTGGTAAAAACAAAAGGTACTCTGAAGAAGGTCAAACCTACATCTAGTGACAATTCAACGGTGTTGTCTCCTCGTATTTTGAACATCTTGACAAAGTTTTTCATGACTTACCAACTCCAAAATCTCAAAAAGTGTTTTTAAAGGAGCTCGCATTAGTAAACCACCTCCCTCACCACCTCCACCAAAAATTTCATTCATTGACGAGATGTCGATTTTTATGCACAAATACATTGAATGGATCGTCAATGTTGAGGGTGACTGTAATAGCGGTTCTCGAGATGTTTTGGATTTATTCGATAAAAGAGAAGATAATCACACACTCGTATGCCATCAACTTATCCATGAGTTGAGGACCTATAAAGAATCATACACACAACTTTACAGAAAGAAAGAAAACTTTGATGCGATTTATGAGTCTCTTCTTCCTTGTATTAGTGGATCGGCACCGGAGGAAAAATGGACGTGCTTCCCTAAAATGAGTCATCTCATAGCAAGTGTGTATGATAGATTGTGTATTGATCTTACAAGATACATTTTTTCAGAAACGTTTTTCCCACTGCGCAACGTCCATCTCAAAATTCAAATGATTGTATTATTTGTATTGGGTGACTTTCAAAATCATGACACTTTATTCAAGTTTATTTGAAACCGGGATGCTTATACCACTTACATCAGTGGAGCAGACGACTCATTCGACAACAAAATTTGAGACTTGGTCAGACCAATTTGCAGAAAAGATGCAAGAGTTCGCCAAACTGAGCAACATTGAAAGAGAATCAAATGCACAAAAACCAAAGGGTACCATCCATACTTATAGATTTAGTCGGCGATAAATCTTTCTATTTGTTTTAATTTTTCATCATCAATTAAGTGTATGTAATTGTATATTAATATTAATGAAGTGTAATATATATAATTTTAAATATTTTAATACATTTTGATGTTTGCCAAAAAAATTGTTAATTTGCCAACAAAACACACAGGTTTTGTTTTCTCCCTAGTTCAAGAGGAGAAATATTTGTGTAGGAACACACTTATATCTATATCGTTAGAAACAACCAATAAAAAGAGAGGAAAACTTAAATTTATTATAAATTTAATTTTGTTTTTAATTGAAATCATGGGGTGGTGGTTATTAGGAGAGAGAGAGAGAGAGAGAGTTATTTTTATTTTTTAATTAATAAAAAAATTATGATGGCTTGTTTCTAAAGATACGTGTTATGTTCGTTTCTACACAACTATTTGTCATTCAAGAGAAGTTCCGAAGATGTATCTTCGGAATAAGATAATGTGGTGATACCGAAAATGTATCTCTGAAACCAGCACTGATAAATAATAGGATTTTTGAGATTCACATTGGTCTACAACTTTCATAAATTTAAGGTCTTGTTTTTTATTTCATACAAACATAAAATATTGTAAATGTCACAAATAAACATCATCTGATATGTCGCAAATGTCTCTCCAGCACGACACCTAAGCAAAAATTTAAGATTAATGAGTACACCTCTTTTGCAGATCTACAATGTGAAGTGCATAATCTCCTACCTTACGCATATAATTGAAAAGTTGTGAAATTCGAGTACCGTTCACCATCAATTAACAACGAAGGCAAAATTGAGTTCAACAACTATGAGCTCAAGACAGATGGAGATGTAAGGACTATGTGAAATACATTTTTTCTTTTCGAAACAAAAATTTTCAAGATCAGTCAAATATATTGTGAAGATGTTGAAGCATCCACCTAGATATTGAAATGTAATGTTTGATTTTATGTTAACATCACCTATGTAATGTTGATTTTATGTTATAAATGGTAATTTTATTTTGTCAAAATACAACTTTATGATTTTATGTTTTTGTTTCTCTTTCACAATGTTACGGAGATGGATCTACAGACGGATTTTGGAAATACATCTTTGGGTAAAAAAAGGTTCACTCATAGGACGTGACTCAGAATTGTCCTTAGTTGCGTGTGTTTATGGTGCATTCGAAAATGTATCTCCGGAAATTGAAAACATTTTAGTATTTTCACGTGTTACCTTAATAATATATATGGTGCATTAAGAAATCTTCTTCTATTAAACTCTGATTTGAAAGAAAAAAAATTAATTAATCCTTTTAAGAACGGTGTACTCAATCCCCCTCTATCTAAATCATTTAAATCCATATTCTCTCCCAACACACCTACTTGCAACCAATAAAAAATAAGACAATTTGAATCAACATTTAGATAATCCGTAATTCAATTGCAGACCTGTCCTTCAAGTATCTGAATTACAATTTCAACTTTTGGATTGCATTCATATGACAACAACAAAAAAACAAATTATTCCAATGATCTTCAACAATAGAAATGTACATTATATTACCTATAATTTCAAATAATCTTATGTCTTTGATGTCGAAATACAATAGAATTCTGTTTTGCAAAATAAAAATACAAAAAAAAAAAATTAAGGAATTATGTTATTAGCGTTTCAATATGCCCGAATGTCAATTGCCAAAGGGTTTGTCTTGAATTTATAATCCAGACAAATGTCCACTAGCATTATATGTGTTCATGATAAAAAGATTTGTTGTATTGTAGTATTTTTCTAACATGGTGAGCGTTCGAATTTCAATATCCAAAAAATGCGAAAGAGATTTTCAAATTTTTATAGGATTTGAGAGAATTAATAAGAGTGCAATTAGCATTCTTTAAAAAAAAACATATATGATTGCAATAAGCATTTTTATAAAATTTCAGATATTATACAAACAATATTTAATTTGATGGACTAAAAATTTTTAATAATTATAAATGGAAAACATAAATATTACTCTAAAAAAAATTGTTATAAGTACATTTTAATTATTCTATTCTTAACAATTAATCTCGTCCAAAGGATTGATAGTATGTAGACTCATAACAATATTATAGTTTGTGACAACATTTATTTTCTTTGTAAATAGATTATAGTAAGAGTATTGTCATAATGTTAGAATAGATAACAGTTAGTGATGCATGACCGACATATGGTAACCCCCAAACTTAGGAGTTTCCCACATTCTATTTTCTCTATAAGAAAATAATCACTTTTGAAAATAATCTCCTCCAAACACGTGTCCACTTTTACTCAGTCTTTCCGTACCCAACAGATCCGTACATTAATATAGAGTCTTGTTTTCATGACACACCTTCAAAACTCATTCATTCTGGATCTTACTTAGTTATAGTTTCTTCCCACATCTTTCTCACTGGGTGGTGGAAAGAAATAGTAATAATAATGACCCTGAAGGGTGGGACAACACAGGCTTGTGCAGCATGCAAATTTCAGAGAAGAAAGTGCACACCTGAGTGCCTTTTAGCTCCCTATTTCCCTGCAGATCAACCTAAGATATTCCTTAATGTCCATAAACTATTTGGAGTTAGCAACATTGTCAAAATACTTAAGTTCCTCGAACCTACTCAGAAGAAACCGGCCATGGATTCTATTATCACGCAAGCGAATTATAGAGATAAGTATCCTGTGCATGGATGTTGGGAGGAGATTTGCAGGCTACAATATCAAATATGGATGATGGAAGAAGAACTTCATGCTGTTTATCAGCAGCTTGAAATTTGTCGACAACAACAGCAGCAACAGTTGCCTCATGATGATGTCACTTCGCAGTTAGAATTGGGGATGGGACCGCGGTCTTCAAATGCGCTCGCGCTCTTTAATAACACTCCGCAGCCACAGAATTATAACACAGTGCCTGCTCCTTTGTCTGTGTCTCAACAGCATTCTTACTCCAACAGCAATAGTGTGGATTATAATAACTCTCCTCTCTATATGGATTCCAAGGATAATGTTACGAATCCGAATTTGTGGCTTCAGTGCCCTTACACTAATAACAATAGTAATTCAATAACAATGCAACCTCATCAGTTGATTACCTCAGAGTCACAACAGCCACTGTCATCTGTTCAACAAGGAGTTGTTGAAGATAATTATGATGAAATGCATTCGTTTTTTGATACGGTTGATGATAGGCAATCATACATTTATTCTAAGGAGGCTTATGAATCAAGGTAGGTTTATCATTTTATTATGACAACGTTACTCAGCACATCACATCGTAAATCTAGGGGTGGCAAAATGAATGAATTGGATGAATATGAATTTGATTGTTAATGGATGGATTAAAACAATTTATTAGTCCATTAACAATTCACTAAAATTTTCTTAAAACTATCCAATCCGATCCATGCATTAAGAATAAAATTCATCCAATTCATCCATTAACATATATTTAATGGATGGATATCCATCCATCCAACTCTTTTTTTATTTCGTGAAAATAAATATATTTTTTTATTTTTAAAAATCGATTTTATTTTATTTTTGAAAAATTCATTTTTTGTATTTTAAAAAATATATTTTTTTTAATATATTCATGAAAAAAATTAAATTTTTTGTTAAAAAAAAGTCATGTTTTATTTTTAATTATTTTAAAAAAAAAATAAATCTAACGAAAATAAAAATAATTTATTGGATCCTTAAAATATGTTGCGTGGATTGAATACATCCATACATATAAATAGATGGATTTAATACAATCCATTAACTTATTTTTTATGTAGTGGATGGATTGGATGAATTTTTTGATAGATGGATTGGATGGATTTTGTCTTAATGGATCTAATTGCCACCTCTAGGTAAAAGCAAAACATACAATACTTTTTTTCTCTCTTTTATATGAGGTTTTTTTACACTAATACCCTATTTTGAAACAAATAATACCAAACTACCCTCTTTTAAAAAAAGTTAACGAATTTGCCTTAGGTTCAGAACCTGCTCGTCCACTGAAGGGGCAAGCATATGAAGGAGATTCTGGTCACGTTGGTGTTCGCCCACTCAGATGGCGAGCACATGAAAAAAAACAAAAAAAAAAACACCCTTCATGTGCTCGCCATCTGAGTGGGCGAGCACCAACGTGGCCAGAATTTCCTTCATATGCTCGCCACTTCAGTGGACGAGCAGGTTCTGAACTTAGGGCAAATTCGTTAATTTTTTTAAAAGAGGATAGTTTGGTATTATTTGTTTCAGAATAGGGTATTGGTGTAAAAAAACCTCTATATGAATATCCATAAGTTCGGTCTATATGATTATCCATAGGTTCACTCAATTAGAGGTAGTCTTGTTTGAGGTTTGTACCTATTGGTTCAAATGTAAGGGGTTTGTACACATATGAATAGGAAAAATGTCAGATTTTTCGAGTTGACACATATACTTAATACCTTGAGTTTTTGGGTGGAGATATAGTGTTTTTCTCTCTTGTGGTTCTGAAGCATTGGCGACAATATTACTTCCGACTTCTCTTGACTCCTCCAACAAATAGTATCAGAGTCTAGTTCACTTAAAGAATGTAGGAATTCAATTGTGAGAGATTCTTAACACTCGTGTGAGTGATTGAATTCAACATTGTCCATGAAGGAATAAAATGTGAATTTATAAGAGAGATGGCCTATATACATAATGTCTTAAGGTTTTGGGTAGAGATATGACATTTCTCTTCTCTTGTAGTCCTGGGCATTGACTTCCGACTTTTCTGAACTCGCCAACAAATACAGATTCAGACAAAATGAGTTTGAAAGTTTAATATTGAAAGTAGATATAGTAGAAGTTGAGAATCATTTACATATATATTAGGGGTAGATCAATTGACACAAAAGTCTCAAACTTAACAAATGACAATGAGATACATAAAAATTAACGTCTTATGAAATGAAAATGCTTATTTTTATGTTGTATATATCTGCTTGCAGTTCAGAAGAGTCATTGAAAGACACAAGAAAGTGCACAGAGCATGTTTCTGAGAATGAACTGAAGAGTGCTGCTGCTTGTTTCAGCCTTACCAGTGTCAACTGATCAGTACTGTGTTTGCCATCCTTCCTTCAACAGAAAAAATGAAGTGGGTTTCATTTTTCCATTCCTTATTGGATTTTTTTTGGTAATCTTGTCATAGTTGAGTTTCCAATCATTCACTTGTCAAAATATCAAATAGAAGCAGATACCTCTTCAACTGTCTATCAAATTTTGTTGCTTATATTGAGAAGGCAGAGAATAATACCTAGATAGGACATTTTCATCAATTTGTACTGATTATTTGACTGTTCTTACATGATAGATCATCATAAACATTAATTGCATAACTTCTTTTGATCACCTTTATAGAATCTCTATTAATGGTTTGGTTTACAGTATTTCTTTCTAATCTTGTGTTATAAATCTAACTATTTAGTACTGTAACTGAAATGAAAAAGAATGCAAATAAAGCACCATATTAATATCATTCAACCAGAGTATCTCACAACATCAGTGAATAAAGATCACTGTTACTAGTTGAATTTTCATTTTAGGTGAGGTGCAATTAAAGATGAGAAAATGTAGAGTTTTTTTCTTTCGTTTTTTAGTATGAATTATTGATCTTAAAGACCAAGTTACAAGAGATTTTATATGATTACTATCCTGCATTCGCAGTGGTGTTAACTTACACAGTGATAACAAACAGATAAAATTTATATGGAATTATTTTTACATTATAATTTAGAAGAACTACTCTGACATAAGCGAAGATCTAAAAATTTAAAAACAAATTATAATCTAATATTTAAATACATAGAAGCTAAGAGAGGCAAATATCTATGCTCACACATGCTTGAATAATCATAAAACTCTGGTGTTGTAGGAACCACAAGAAATGCATTTATGGTAAAGCCAGTGGAAGGGAGCTGCTCCTTTTTTTTCACAGTCATTACATAAAATAACCTGCAGTAATAGGTTCAATTAGAGTATACATTGGGAAAACAATACAGAATCTGAGGTTTAATATGAGACAGAAATAAGAAAAACAGCTGACTAGCCTGAGTTTGACCCGAAAACTCGTCAGACATTTTCTCCTCGGCCAATAATGCATCTAGCATCCTAAAATAAACCTGCAAGGCATTTTTATAGTTTTAGAGAGATATGAGTTCTTTAAAGATAAATGGAGTACAGATGACAAAAATTAAGATCCAATTTAACAGTCCAGCTATTTCAAACAGACAATTGATCTTGGGTAGCTGCTCAAGAGTTTTCAAGTATGCGAAATGATAAAGAGATTTGAAAATGATACTTGAACTGAGATTTCGATAGCATAGATGTTTCAAATGCATGGCTTCTCGTCCCTGTGGAATTTCAAAATCCTTGACAGATTTAAATATTCTCAGCTATAAATTACAACTATAATGCAGCTAATATGTAGTAACTAGCAACTCCTAAAATCATATTTTGTTAGTTTATGTTAAATGTAACCATTATAATCATCAGATTGCAAGCAAACTTCTAGTAAAATCCACAGTACATGTAGCAATGTATGTGATGAGACATACAGAATCATTACCATGGTAAAATATATATGCAGCAATATGAAATGAACAATATTTCTAAATATAGGACATGTGATGACAAATATTGACTGACCTGCATGTCTCCTAGTGACTTGCTACATATTGGGCAGGTATAGTTAAAGCAAGTATATTCCTGAAAGTCCACAACAAATGCTTCTAAAGTTATATTTGTTTTTTCCAAATGATTTTGGAGGAAAAAATACAAAGAAGTACCTGAAAACATGTTGAGTGCATCACATGACCACATGGGAGGGCTTTCACTGGAGAGCAGGATGTGAAGATATATTCATGACAAATCGGACAGTTTTCCTCTAAAGATTTCTCTCTGCATGTATGTATCATAAGAGAACGGGACATACAAGCATTGCAATTCATGCAATGAAAAAAGTCAACACCCAAACCCTTTCCAAGTCGACATAAGTTACAAAAGGGACAGTGGTAAATTTTCCTGCTAAAAAAACGCAAGAGTTTTAGTCATGATAATTTTAAAGGTATGCAAGATAAGGTGACAGACATGACCTCCATGTATCTGATCATTTTTCATAATAAAGAGAGAACTTGGCATACGTCAAATTAGGTCCCATTTTCAATTCTAAATGTCATATCCATTACATATTATTTTGGATGACAACAAGGTAAAAAGGTCATCCTGCCATAAGTTTCTGAAACCTGCCTTCCTTAGGTATGAAAAACATTAAGATGCACTCTTGGTCCTAGGGACTAGCTACTATTAGCTGGCCCAAGGGCATTCCATAACTCAATTTACCTAGAACCTATAAAATTGCTCACTTATTGGTTTCCACCCATCTAACATTCTCAGAGTTTATAAAACTCTTTTTGTGTATAAAGGCCTAATTATATCATTAGTTCTAGAAATATGACTTTATACACCCTTAACTATAGTAGTGGACCTCTCGATTTTTTTCGAGAAATAGAGAGGGTCCCTAGCCGTCAAATATTGTCCCCCGAGAATGTTTAGGCAATAAATCCTAAATTCTATTATAACTGAAACACCAATACATTTGCAATGTATTTATGTTACATATGTCATTTAACTAGTTATCATCTCCTTGATAGACTCTAACTATCTCCTTAAATTATGATATTTATGCCATAAATAAGACATCAGCGTGTAAGTCTGGGACACAACTTCTCTTACACTATTGTAAAAATTTATGGCATGAGTATTTTACGGATTCCACCAATGGATTGAGAGTAAATAAATAGATATGCTTCTCTAAAATAATGTCAAAATTTTGTTTATAAAAATTCCAGTTAAGATACATTACCTTTCATCTTCAAATAATTTGCAGATCCTGCAGTAATATTTTGCCATGGAAAAATTACGGCAAGAAACTGATGAGCATGTGGCATTGATTGGTTGAATCACCAAGCACTTCATACACATCATCATTGTAATAGATTTTCTACATATATTTATGCATTCCATCAAATATGAATTATGAAATATTGAATTCCTCAATTCAAAAAATAAAACATAAACAGAGCACATTCTACTCTTACCTGTCGATTAAATGATCCGATACCTCGTCATGGCAATGTATGCAAGCATGAAGTTCATTGCAACAGGGCGCAAAAAGCTTACAGTTTCTCTTGTAGTGTTTGCAGCCATAGATTTGTTTGAGAGGGTCCTTGTATGATGGATGTTTCCCAGGGAATTCCAGCCCATCGCTTTTGATATTGACTTCCATAGAAGAAATCTTCTGACTAATAATCCAACGGCTGAAATATGTGGAAAGCTAAGTTAAAAACCTAAAGTCTGTTACTATCATAGGCTTGGAATAGATGAACGACAGATGTAATTTGTTGTGCAGGAATACAGTCTTCTAAAAAAATTGTATGATAATTTCTAGCAAATAAATATCAACGGTTTGCAACGTCACAATTAAATAAACCAGACATTCTTATACAACTATGAAGGATGCATTTCATACTCATGTTGTTTTACGGTTTTCTGCTTTTTAATAGGGCCTTGGACTCAAACATAGTACAGGTCGGATCCAAGATGAAGAAGGCTTACAGGTTGATTTTTTCTAGTCACATCAAAAATATTTGGTTACACCCAAATAGGTTACGTGGACTTAGCTTAAACCTACCTGAATTAAGTTCGTGCATAAAAAGTTAATTTTTTTGGTGTGGGTGGATATTTTAGGGGTGCAACTAAAAAAAATCTTACATGTTCAAATTTACAGGCCCTAGGTCACTACAGATTAACTGCAATCAGGAGGAAAACATGTAGGTGTCGAGGGATTGACTAAAAAATAGATGTTGGTATAGAGGGAAGGTTAGCTACAGAAAGAGAGGGTAGATGAGAGAAAAATAGGAGCTACAGACAAAAATGTAACAGAACGAGGGAGATATTCTGTACAGTTTCATTTCAGCATTTAACTCCGGAGAAGTGTTATTATCCCTGGTTAGGAGGACTTTCAGCTCTTTCCTTTCACTGTAGTTAGTTCTGATTTCATCTTCAACAGAATACCCCATTATAGATAGGAACTGTTTCCTATAACCTTCTAAAATTACTAATAAGGAAAACAAGCAAGATTACATAACCTTGACGTTAATATAGGTTAAAATTAGCTTATTTTACATTGAATAATACCTGTCAAAACTGTCTATGTCTTGATTATTTCATGAAAAAAAGCAAAATAAGTTGAATCTAAACATAGCAATTGTATTGTTTACCGTCACTAAAATTGACTAGCAAAACAATTGTTTACTGTCACTGAAATTGACTAGCAAAACAATTAAGGCAATGCTCTTAAATTGTTACTCAAAAATACGAGGAGAAAAAACATAATTGTTCGCAGCCAACTACCCAAGAGCTGCATTGTTAGGTATAGGCACATTATGGTTTTTTATTACATTTATAACAAAAACCATTAGGAAAATCATAAGTAAGACCAACCTCGTAAGTAGACTTTGTATTATGTATGACTTCTTCTGAGGATCTAGGCAAGAGTCACGAGACACCCTTCTTATTACCCTCTCCAGATCATCTTGACTCAATTTCAGAAGTCGGTCATAATGCTCAGACTTGTCCAAATCAAAATGTTGAAAAGACCTACTTGTCAAAATGCCCATTGGTTTTACTTCATTGCAGGTATGTTTCTTAATATCATGAAATTGATTTGTGCATTTTGAACATTGACTATAATTTTGTGCTGCATTATTAACCTTAACCTTGTCATCAACATTGGAGTTGGAGAGCTCAAAACTATTGCCAATAAGATCCTTCTGCCAAAAGTTTATGTTTTCGTTGGCCGACGGTTCTTCTTGTAATTCATTAAGAACTTCTTCAGACAAATATTTGGATATAATATCTAGTGGATCAACATTTTGTAGAGGGGCGTCATTTGATCCATCTGCTGCCTTAGCTAAACTGTACCCATTCCACCATTCACTTAACCACTCGTCAAACATTGTATTCTTAGTAGCCATGGACCATAAGAACATTAAAACATGCTGCTCTTCCTGTGTTAAAGATGCCATCAGCCAAGGTATCATATCTTGTAAGATTTCTGCACTTATTCTTCCAAGCATGCATCCTATGATCTTCCCTTGCTCTCGGTTTGAGAAGAACTCTCTAATTATAGGCCAAATTTCTATTTCCTCACGGTTTATATGATCAGAAAGTAACTTATGCATTGATTTGCACATTTCTTGCAGCTTCTTGATTAAATGATCACGCCTTAGCATCCTCTTGACTCTTATCTTTGAATCAGTAGTAGAAACCGAAGGATGTAATTCAGACAGCCTGTCAAGAATGCGAGATATTTTACCAAAGTGCTCAACTTCATGTTTGTGATCAAAGGTGTAGGCAAGGCTAATGTTTTTGAGCTGACCTATTGCCTCCAAGGCAGGAAAAACTATCTCATCCTCTGCATCACTATGGATTTGATGTAGAAAGCATATGAGATGGAACCGTTTTTGGAAATCTATAAACTCGTCATGTCCCTCTAACTGAGCTGAGCCAAGAACTAGGTAATCCAAATCTTTCTTAATAGCCTTGTGAAAGAAAAATATCAGGTCTATTGGTTTTGGATCATTAAGAAAGGAAACAGAAGACAGATTTGCTGCATGAAATCTTGGATGCTGATTTAACTTCATAGCAGTGTCAGGGAAAAATATGTGCAAATTAATTCCTGTGGAGTATGGTGTCTCATATTTGTTCACATTTTTGGCTCCAGAAGATGATGAATGGGACAGACAATTCTTGCCACAACTTTTATGTGGCTGCTTCTCAGAACTTAAGAATGAAAACCCACAAGTTTCCTTCATTTTCTCAGATGAAAAAGAGTGTCTTCTTTTGAACATATACTGCAAATCCTGTCGAAACTTCTCAATTGAGGTTTTACCTGAATAACCAATGCGGAACCATTCATGTAACAATGGAGCAAAAGCTTTACTGACAGAATTATTTCCTTCCTTTATGCAATAGAGAATGGACCTGGATTCTTTTTCAGACAAGTGAACTGAGAACCAAGTTATAACGCATTTTAGTAACCCAAGTGGCATCATATGCATGCTCAAGCTTAGAAGTCTCACTTGCATTCCATTTCTGCAGTTCTTTCTAAAGATAGGAAACACCTGATAAACAATTAGGGTGTCAAAATTGAAATCATTGAAAATGTTATCATGTAGCATCCTTTAATAGAAGAAAAAAAATTTGTTAATAAATATGGAACTAAGATATAGCCAAAAATTTGATCCTAAAAAGAAAAATATAGCTAGCCATAAATTGAACTTTTCTTTAAAAAAGGGAGATTTATTCTCTGTTATTTCTTGCTCTTCTTTTCACTCAAGAGTATGAAACATTTCATTACATTGAATGTTTCATAAACTAATGTGTCTGTATAACTGGATAGGCTCGTCTACTTAAAGCATTTTTTATCTTGATAATACTTTTACGATCAAGAATGGTTTTAAAACCACAATATGTAGATATTTTGTTAGACTGATAAACTAAAATGTTAAAGACCATCATCATATATTATTAATATGATGTTCTCTTGTTCCATACTTTTCTGGGTTAAAAAATGTGATTTACATAGAATACCTCAATTTCTTGAAAAGAAAATTGTTTGTTGACTGCTGATATAAATAATTCAAGTTTTCCGCAAAGCTTCTCTACAAATTTGGTCAAAGGCATTTCACTTTCTGAGTTATAAAGTAGCAACTGTTGTATATCCTCAATGTGACTTTCTCCAAGTAAATGTCCAGTAGACATGGAAAATCGGCCATGGGCCAGTTTGTTCAGTATAGGATGAAAGAATTTTTTCAGAGCATTGCTGTGATCAGAAAGTTATATTCAGAAATTGGACAATTGAGAAGAACAATAATGAGCATTTTAGATAGAAGATTGGCTTTAAAAAATTCAGCAAAAATAAATTAATCAGATTCCACACACCAAAAAATAAATAAATAAATAAGACACTGTCAGAAATATTACCTGTAGAAGATGAGGACATCAGCCAAGAACTTTAGCTGGATAAGTATTGAGTCTAAATTTTGAGAACAGCCGGAATTTCTTATTAGATAAAGCTCTTGCTGAATTTCTTTCAAATCTTTCCTTATGGCATTATGCCAAAGATGGAGAACCTTAACCTGGTTGACCTCATCTTCTGTTTCTTTATCATTCACTTTCATCTGACTTGAAACATCTTTGTAGTTACTATTGCAAGAACTCTGCCCAAAAGACTTTTCTATATGTCGGGATCCATGAGAACCTTGAAGCTCCTCACCGTGAAAATATACCCCAGAGAAGGTTTGTTTGTTGCTTTCAAGCCAAGAAACCAAAACCTTCACAATTAGATCTGAATTATTAAAAAGGCGGGGGGAGTATATAATAGTTTATTCAATATTCAGTAATAAACTCTGGCTAACCTCTTGCAGTGCTCTTTCCATTGGTGCAATTTCATTAAAACACTGAGTAACTTCTGCTTGTTTATCTGCTGAAAGGAAGGATACCATCCATGGCAAAACTTCCTCCAGCAACATTATAGGAACACTACATATGAATTGCCACACAAGAGAGGCTTGTTCTTTAGTAGACAAATTTTGGATCAACAGAGGAAAAACCTGAGGCAGTGGGTAAATTTAATGGTAAGTGTGATAATCAAGATTCAATAATCCATAAATACATGCTCATGCAAAAATAAACATATTGAAGAATTTCAAAATTAAAGATTTAGGTCAGGTCCTTTCTAAGTATTGCTTGTCTTCTTGTTATACCCCGTCATACATTTCCTTGTTCCTGGAAACAACTTCATGTTTCAGACTCCTTTAACATATAATTGCCATTAACAATGTAGATGCCCGAGCGATTAATTGCTGGAAAACTGTATTTTACACACACATACAATAGAAGGTATGTGAAGCCCGATCGTTAGTCCTAATTTCCACCGGGATGGTCATTTTTCAAGTAAGATTAATGTCGGTTGGACATGGTTTTTTCTTGCATTCAAGAAAACAAATGAATGATATTCTATGTCCTTTCCAAAACTAGTGGCAAATCTTACATAATTCAATCACTCTATGTTTGAAGACGTTTATTTCATTTTATCCATTAGTCAGAAGAATGAGGGGCATGGGATTGTTTCATTTAAGTTATAACAATAGTAATTAGTTGTTAATTAGTGAATCCTTTATTGGCTTCAATACTTAATACATTCACCAAGTAAATTGATTACATTGTGTGTAGACACAACAAATGCAAATCATCATATATATTCAAAAGAGTGTTCATGCAAGTCTTTGCATTAATGCAGTAAAGGGTTGGGATAACTTCTCTTTTTTAGTGACATAACAGAGCTCGACACACGCATTCCTTACAAGATAGTCAACGCATAACTTCCTATTACAAATGCATTCATTGCCATGATCTATATCCTAAACGAAAAATGGGCCATCGAATAAACTAATTTATATGAAACACGCGACGCAAAATTCTCATCTACAGGTGAATGAATAGGTTAAATGCATTTAAACTGAATATAGTGAAACATGTATTTATCGCAATAAATTCAAATAAATGAAACTAAACCAACAAAAAGCATTGTCAGAAAGACTAAATAACCACATTGATGCATTATGTCAAAAACTGAAACAAGGAAAGAACAAAAGATGTAACTGGGCAATTTTTCTCGAAAGCAATAGTAGAAAACATTTACCTGCTCTTCTTCTTTCAGCATATGTTGGTAGATGCAGGTTTGCAAGATATCAATGCAGTACACAAGTTCTCGGAACAGCTTGGAAATATTCTCACTAGAGGCCCTCAGCTCATCCAAGAAGTGTAAGATAGAATCAAACAGCCCGTCGGTGCTGTTATGTTCAAGGGAATATGTACATACAACATTTTTTACATGCGCATCCAGTGCATGGAAGATAATCTGCCAAAAATAATTTTAAAATTATATTCAGATTCCTAAACCTTAAAAAAGTCTGAATCGTAATTCAAGACAATGACTAAATCAATACAAGTTAGCAATTACTAACATATAGAACAATACAGTATTTCAGTTCAAATAATTGTGAAATTTGAAGCTACTGTTAATCAACAAACACAAATACGAATCAGCAAAATTACTTACGAAGTTTAAACTATTCAACTTTGAAGTTCAAATTCCCAAACTAACATAGTGATACAGATTATAACTACGATAATAAAAGCTAGTTTTAGAAACTAACCTCATCTTCTGCAGCGCAATGATACTTAAGAGCTAATCTAACAAACTGAAACCTCTGCTGAAGCATAACAATTATTTCTCGGCAACGATCCGGATCATCTTCCAACGACGCCGTTTCAGCAAACACACGAAGCTGATCGAGTTCAGAACGCAGCGCTTTATGAAAACAAACAAACAAAAGTATAGGAGCATCGTGAAGTCGAAATTGCGAGAGAATGTCAGGTGAATCGTTGACTTTCACACCGTTTTCCTCCTCCTCTTCCTCCATATCCGACAACGACGGATCTCCGCCTCCCATCGAAAAACCGGGCAGTAACAACCATCAACGGCGAGAGAGAGAAAAGGGAAGTTGTGAGTGCAGAGAAGCATTAGATTTATCTATCTCTGAACTGGCTTGGTAGCTTCGGTTTTGTAATTGTTTAATAATTTTTAAAAAGAATAAAATTAAAGAAATGAAGAAATGAAAGAGACGTTGTAACCAACGGTGAGGGATTGTTTGTTAGCTCTTGGCGGTTTCAGATGATTTAATTTTGATATGATATTTTGATATGATATTTGAGAGAGGCATGAAGCGCGCCTGTTATGTGATTTAAGTAATGAGAGCGTGAAGAGGACGCGCTTGTTAGTTAATGTGTTTGGCGCGCTGGGGATTTTTTTTTCCTAGGTAGATTTCGGTTTATTATTTTTGTTTATATATTTATTTATGTGGCTTTGTCTTGTAGCTGAGGGGCCGTGGGTGGGTCAGTGTCATGGCTAAGTTCATGCTTTTTGCGGGTGAGGCTGTGTGTGAGTGAGTTCCTTGCCGGCCGGCGACACGTTGTCTCGTCCGTGTTATTTAATTACTTTAACTGTATAGTTCTTTTTCATGCTGCTGCTTCTGTTAACCGTCCTTTCTATCTTCCACCATTTTTTATAAGATAAGATGATATAGTATTAACTATTAAATACTCCGTATCACACACAAGTGAGATTTTGTATTCAAGATTTGTTCTTGGTGTTCAATCTATTCCCTCCATCTCACAGTTAGTAATTCATTTGAAATAAAAGAAATTTAAAATAAATAATTTATTTTAATTTTTAATTTTTTTTTTTTAATTTTATCATTTAATTAATATTATTTTCAATACATGATAAGGGTATTTTAGTAAAAATATCATTATCTCTCTTTTATTTATTTATTTATTTTAATATGTGTGAAATGGTCAATTAGATCACTCATTGTCGGATGGAGGGAGTAGTGTTTTTGAAACATGTTTCGACTCAGTTGGTTGGATTGATGAGACCGAGGATCGGAGAGTAGGACGTGTTAAGAAATGTCAAAAGATTATACATCTAATTGATTGATGTGATTTAGCTAGTTTATTGGGTAAACTAGTAAATCGATGGGCGTGCTTGAATCGACGGATTGCATTGTTTTCAATAACACATTTTAAAGAAAGTGAAAAAATATAAAATTAAAACAATATCTTCTTCCTCTTGTTTTAACTTGTTTCAGGCTGGACAAATGCCTAGTAAAGCATGGTCAACTGCAAAAGTCCAGCCCATAGCATCATCGCAGATATGATTGAACAAATGGAATCTCGTTACAGAGTCGGACACCTAATACAAGCTAACATACATCAACCATTGTCAGATCTAATCGGACGGCTCCTCGTGACACGTTGGATTAAGCGAAGACGATTTTAATTGTCATCCATATATATGTTCTGCCACACGTCATAACATGTATTATTTCATTCTCACTCATGCAAGTTACTTTGTTGTTGTCTCATTAATTTGGGTATTTGAGTGTTAACCTTGTAGATTCACCTCACTCCACTACACTGGAGATTCTTGCCACCGTATTGGAAGGATTTTTTTCCTTTCATCCGATCGATCTTTCTTACGTTGTTGGAACAATGGTGCCTTATGTGGGAACCAACTTCTATTTCTCACGAATTTCCACGGAAATCCATTGCCTCTTAACTGTTGCATTAAACTAACCAATCTTTCTTTTGTTCTAATCTTCGTTAAAATTTATACCAATTATGGTGGCATCTAAGTTTGCTCGGACCGCCCCTCAGCATAGTGCCAACGCCATTGCTGAAGTGATGATTAGTGATTCAGATTCTACAAAATAAGCCTTGCCTTCTACGGCAGGAAGAACTTATCTCGTCTTCATGACTTCTCCCACTATTTTGACTCCTCAAGCTCATGTTCCTCTACATATCGACCAGAGCACATTCCATATCATGTTGATCTTCTAACCTCTCCAACAGTTACTTCAATTTTAAACTTTTACACAGTCAAAACCAAAACCATAGGTCTCTGAACCAAAGATGCTCTAGACCTTCCAACAACTCCAAACCAATATAGGCATGCAATGGGCGAATAAACTACTCACCGACGTATAAAACCTGGTGCAATAGGAGAACATGTTTACCTTAGTTGAAAGTCTCTTCAAAATATAAGAGAATTTGTAAGGCGTTCTGTCTTGAGGTCGTTCACCGCGTGAAGCTACACCACGCGGTAATCACAAAGTCATGTCTTAGTAGATCTTTATTTACATCATCTCTCTGCACCTAATTGTTCATAAATCTTTAGATCATCACCTTTACTGGCCATGCCACTCTCCTCTTCAAGATTATGGTAGTATAGGTGGAACCCACACCCCCTCAAAGGATGTCACCCTCCAAGATCTTCGTTGTTCCATCCTCAATGAGGGGAAACACGAGACATTAAAATATAAATTTGCAGTAAAAATATTGCTCTCTATATGCATTCTTGACAGTCGGGTATGCAAACCCCTCAAATAACCTCTAGGTAGATAGTTACAAAGAGATTGAATATCTAGAAGCACAAATCGAACACATGGACAATATGCTTGATTACCACCACAGAATGAGTGTTGTGAAATGCAAATTATTTGTCTTGAACCTCAAAGTGGTACCCATGACATAGTTCAAAACCTTGCATAATGGATGTATCAAATCCTAGAAGAAGCTCTGCAAGTCTTTTACAATTCAATTTACGAAACCAAAAACTGCATCCCTAAAAAATAACCCTTCTCATCATATTCCAACAAAAGAAAAAAGAAATCCTATAGGAATATGTTAACTGATTTAGCAAGGTAATTGTCAAAGTAGGTGAATCATATGACATGATGAAATGTTGGATATTTTATAAAGGATTAAGAGTTGATTGCATGTTTCATGAGAAGTTAAGATTGTAAGGTGTTATAGGTATGAGTGACCTCCTCATCAGGGTTCATTTGCACATTAAGTATGAAGAAAATCTCATAGCATGGGAGGTGAAAGTGGTCAAGAATTGGAGAACACGACAAATAACCAATCAATTTAAAGAGGCTTTAAATGGAGTCGAGACGATGGAGGTTGAGGTCCTCGGGTCATATTTTCATCCTACACACCCTTAATACGTCAAGAAAGGAAATATTGCAAGAATGAATTAACATCAAATTCAAGGAAGCTGGAATAAAGAACCCTCACCCCATGAAAGAATCCCCTAGACCTGACAAGACAAGATTATAAAACTTCCATAAAAGCCACGAGCATAATACATATGAATGTGTAGTGACACAATTAAAGAATTGATTCAGAAATAAAGGTTAACATGGTACACCTATGGGGATGGTCATAAGGATTATCATAAAAGAATAAGAGAATATAAGAGGCGGGACGGTTCGCCAAGGAAGAAGTGATCCTCTTGTCGAGAGAAGGTGTCCCAAAAAAATACAATGAAAGTCGTGAAAGAAGCCAAAAAGGAAGAAAATATTGCAGTGACAAAGAGGAACAAGACTGAAGAGGAAAACATCAATTTATAGCCTCTATCATTATAGGTTTTCCCCTTCCCAAAGACCTAATCTAAAGGGACAGTCAAGTGAAGGATCAACGAGTTGATGGCGATCAATAAGAAAGAAGATGTAACTTTCGAAAAGAAGTCGAAAAAACTAATCATTGGGTTCAAAGATAATAAGAAAATGGGTGGTATCGCAAATGATATTTTACCGTGTGTATAACGAAAATTATGGCTAATTTTGATATTTTAAGAGTTCTTACCGACGGGGGAATCTCGTGCGATATCATGTACGGCAAACTCTTTGAAACTCTGAGGCTGGAGAAAGAAAATTTATTGCCTTATATGGATTCTGACCTACAAACCTTCAATAGCACGGTAACATGTCTATGTTATTTTGAATAGCTCATGGTCACACTCAAAGAAGGAAGAAACATCATGATGGTAGACCTATAATTTCTGGTGGTTTTGTGCAACAGTCTTTACAACTACATTTTGGTTAAATCTTTCATTGCAACACTCAATATCGTGGCCTCCCTGATTCAACTAAAGATGAAGTACCATAACCTCCATGATATCTTATCACATTAGGGATTTTTGTGTATGGTAAAAAAATATTATAAATTTTCTTTAAAATTTTATAATTATAATTTTTAAATAAATAAATATTATATTATTATTATTAACTTTAACTTTAAATTTATGTGCATAACTTTGAGTTTACTAATGCACGAAACACCATTCACTATAATAATATCATTTTTTGTCATTTTTTTTAAATTAGGAGGGCAAAGCCCAAAAAAACGAACTCAACTTAACCAATATTACTAGTGTCCTCTAACAGGAGATTCAACATTAAGTTAGGACGATCACTAAATTCTAACACACACCCTCGCAAATCAAACTAACATAAAGTTAAGACAATCACTAAATTCTAACACACCAGCTCGCAGACTCAAACTGTAATTTGATAAGAAATCATCATATTGGTTAGTTATATAATGGACTTTAACTACTTTAACTTTCGTGATTCCTTCCATATACACCTTGATTTTGCAAATTAAATGCAATTTATGATTATGGTTTTTGTTATCATAAATTGCATTTACCACTTCTTAACTAAAACTTGTAGCTTCACTTTAGTAAAATCTTTGACTTACACAAGTTTTAAGCCTTCAAAAATACTCCAAAATTCTGCATTAAGCACATTACAATGCCTAACATTCTGAATCAAACTGCACAACCATTCTCTCTTGCTATTTCTAGAAAGACAACCACACCGACCAACTTTGGTATTCAACCACACCTAACACCAATGCTATTTCTATAAATGATAATGACTATTAAAATTTTCAGATTTTAACTTGTGTTGTTATTCAACCTAACAAATTTTTGTTAGTTAGGATTAACAAATATATTTTTGCCCTTTTTAAAATATATATTTTTCCTTTGAAACACATTTTTTAATAAAATTTTAATATTAAAAATTTGTTAAAATAATTTTTA